GATTCTGTTTATGGGATTCCCATGAATATCTGCTTAATGAGAAAACTGAATTCCAAATACCCTGAGGCTGATCTGATAAAATTTCCAAACTAATAAAGTTGTGAAGGCTTGCAGAAACATTTTGTAATAGAAAGATAGGAAGATCTGCCCAAGGAGTACAATTATAGAAAGTCTGGTTGGAGGTGAAAATTTACAATTATTCATAATCTAAGGACAAAGTTGTGACTAAGCTAAGAAACTCTTTGTGAATTATCTATTCCTGCTTGCCCATGGTATGGTTTTGTGGCTTCAGTTGCAATTAGGCTGCATTTTTAAATGAAAACTGGCTCCTTTGGGGAATCTGTCAAACTACATGTACATACACACCTGTGATTGACTGAAACCAAATAGTCAAACAAAACAATTAGAATTGGAAAGGGGAAGATTAGAATTGTAACTTTCAAGTATGTTTTCAAAGGCAAAACCTTTCTACAGCTTCCCTTTAATGATTAGTAATAAAGATTCCTTGGAAAAACACAACCTACAAAGAATTTTTTTTTCTTAGAGTCACTGTATGTGCTGCTGTTCACAGGATTTATTTGGTTTTTCAGCACATCACATTTACACTTTTAGCTTACACTCTGATAGTCTCCTGTTTCTCACTAAGATTTACAAATATATGTGCAAGGAAAAAATGAAATTTGAATCATAAAGAGCCGAGGTGGCGCAGCAGTTAGAGTGCAGTACTGAAGGCCACTTTAGCTGACTGTGTTCAGCAGGTCAGCGGTTCAAATCTCACCGGCTCAAGGTTGACTCAGCCTTCCATCCTTCCGGGGTAGGTAAAATGAGGACCCAGATTGTTGGGGGCAATGTAAATATATATATATATATATATATATATTATATATATATATAATATATATATATATATATATGTTTTCTGAGGTTTTCGCGGGTGTTTGTATGTAGGTCTTTGGTTGTTCGGGTTTTCTCCCGCGTAAAATTGGAAGTGTCTTGGCGACGTTTCGACGAAGTCCCATTCGTCATCTTCAGGCTGGTGTTTTCAGCTTCGTGCTTTGAGCAGCAATGTGTGGTCTTAGCTGTTTCTTCCTTTTAACTGCCAGTGGGGGTATGAACTGATTGGGTGGGAGCTTGGCTGTGTTCTGATTGGGTGGAGGTGTGTTCTGATTGGTTAGGGGCGTGGCTGACACACCATCTACCAGAAGAAAACACACACAAACCGCTATCTGCACGCTCTCTCACACCACCACCCAGCACAGATCAACTCTGTAGCCAAGACACTCATCTCCAGAACAAAACGCTTAGCTGACGAACAACACCTAAAAACTGAACTACACACTCTCACCAATGTACTAACATCCAATGGATTCCAAAGAAATAAGATTACAAACCTAATCCAAAAAGAAACCCCCACTAAAATCCAAGACGAAGAACAAGAAAACGGCAAAGCCCTCCTCCCATACATAAAAGGCACCACAGACAGAATCAGTAAGATCCTCCATAAACACAACATCAAAACAGCATTCTGCACAAACAGAAAAATATCCACCATCCTTAGAAACCCCAAAGATAAAATTGAATTAGAAAATCAAGGAGTATACGAAATCCCATGCACCACTTGTCCCACCACATACATCGGACAAACCAACAGAAGAATAAGTGCACGCATTGAAGAACATAAGAACTCAGTCAAAAAAGAGGAACCAACATCTTCCCTGGTCCAACACCTTAAAGCCACAGGACATGAAATTGACTTTAAAAATACCAGAACCATTGCCAAAAGTGAACATTTTAATAACAGAATAATCAGAGAAGCCATCGAGATAGAAAAACGCCCACACAGCATGAACAAGCGAGATGATACCTCCCGCCTACCAGCCATTTGGAAACCCGCCCTTATTGACAAACGACTCCCTAATACAAAAAATGATACCAGACCCACACTCACAAAAACCACACAGGATGTCACCACCACACATCCACGCAAAACGCAAACCCAAAGCCACACCGATGATGAGGCACGACCACAAACCAGAAGCCAGACCAGAGCTGCATCATTAGCCACTTTAAAGCCCTCCAATCCATACACGAAGCAAACTGACACCCTCCATGAAATGAGGCACGACCACAAACGCGAAGCCAAAAAATAGCAAGGCAGCCCAAAATCTTAAACCCCTCTGCAACTCAGACTAACCTGAGCACAACCAAACATAACACTCCCCCAGCCAATCAGAGCACAGCCAACCCCCCAGCCAATCAGAGCACAGCCAACCCCCCAGCCAATCAGAGCACAGCCAAGCCCCTAACCAATCAGAACACACCTCCACCCAATCAGAACACAGCCAAGCTCCCACCCAATCAGTTCATACCCCCACTGGCAGTTAAAAGGAAGAAACAGCTAAGACCACACATTGCTGCTCGAAGCACGAAGCTGAAAACACCAGCCTGAAGATGACGAATGGGACTTCGTCGAAACGTCGCCAAGACACTTCCAATTTTACGCGGGAGAAAACCCGAACAACCAAAGACCTACATATATATATATATATATATATATATATATATATATATATATATGTAGGTCTTTGGTTGTTCGGGTTTTCTCCCACGTAAAATTGGAAGTGTCTTGGCGACGTTTCGACGAAGTCCCATTCGTCATCTTCAGGCTGGTGCTTTCAGCTTCGTGCCTCGAGCAGCAGTGTGTGGTCTTGGCTGTTTCTTCCTTTTAACTGCCAGTGGAGGTATGAACTGATTGGGTGGGAGCTTGGCTGTGTTCTGATTGGGTGGAGGTGTGTTCTGATTGGTTAGGGGCTTGGCTGTGCTCTGATTGGCTGGGGGGTTGGCTGTGCTCTGATTGGCTGGGGGGTTGGCTGTGCTCTGATTGGCTGGGGGAGTGTTCTGTTTGGTTGTGCTCAGGTTAGTCTGAATTGCAGAGGGGTTTAAGATTTTGGGTTGCCTTGCTATTTTTTGGCTTCGCGTTCGTGGTCGTGCCTCCTCTTCATATATATATATATATATATATATATATATATATATATATATATATTCATTACAAATGCACATACAGTTTTGGTTAGAAATATGCTTGGTTGTGTGAAAACCAGTGCTGAAGAAAAAGGATGCCACAATGCAAGGCATTTAACTAAACAAGATAGACTTGTTATTTTGCCAACCCCGTTATAAAGAGTTTCTAACATGCACCTAACAAATAATTTGTGTGTGATTCATTGAATATAACAAGTCCTAGTTTGTTTTTCTATTAATATAACTTTAATGACAAAGATAGACATTTATATGCAATTAATTTATATGCACGCATTGAAGAACATAAGAACTCAGTCAAAAAAGAGGAACCAACATCTTCCCTGGTCCAACACCTTAAAGCTACAGGACATGAAATTGACTTTAAAAATACCAGAACCATTGCCAAAAGTGAACATTTTAATAACAGAATAATCAGAGAAGCCATCGAGATAGAAAAACGCCCACACAGCATGAACAAGCGAGATGATACCTCCCGCCTACCAGCCATTTGGAAACCCGCCCTCATTGACAAACGACTCCCTAACACAAAAAATGATACCAGACCCACACTCACAAAAACCACACAGGATGTCACCACCAAACATCCACGCAAAAAACAAACCCAAAGCCACACTGACTATGAGGCACGACCACAAACCAGAAGCCAGACCACAGCTGCATCATTAGCCACTTTAAACCCCCCCAATCCATACATGAAGCAAACTGACACCCTCCATGAAGAGGAAGCACGACCACGAACGCGAAGCCAAGGAATGGCAGGGCAGCCCAAAATCTTGAATCCCTCTGCAACTCAGACTAACCTGAGCACAACCAAACAGAACACTCCCCCAGCCAATCAGAGCACAGCCAACCCCCAGCCAATCAGAGCACAGCCAACCCCCCAGCCAATCAGAGCACAGCCAAGCCCCTAACCAATCAGAACACACCTCCACCCAATCAGAACACAGCCAAGCTCCCACCCAATCAGTTCATACCTCCACTGGCAGTTAAAAGGAAGAAACAGCCAAGACCACACACTGCTGCTCGAGGCACGAAGCTGAAAGCACCAGCCTGAAGATGACGAATGGGACTTCGTCGAAACGTCGCCAAGACACTTCCAATTTTACGTGGGAGAAAACCCGAACAACCAAAGACCTACATACAAACACCCGCGAAAACCTCAGAAAATAATATATATATATATATATATATATATATATATATATATATATATATATATATATATATATACATACACATACATACATACATTGCTTACTGGTGTACACCGCTTAGAGAGTGCTTGCACTTAAAGCGGTATATAAGTCTCATAAATAAATAAATAAATAAAATAATGTTGTATAAGCCAAGACAGAAAGCATATCACTGCCATGGCATTGGCTTCTACAGACTGCTGGGTGCTGCTTAGCACTAATCTCCAAAGTAACTTGAACTGTTAAAACAGAACAATTAAAACATCAGTGATTCTTCCAAATTTTAATGAGATTTTGCCAATATAGTTGCCAAAAGGTTCAGCATCATTTCCAGTATTTTTTTTAATCAATTAACCAACCAGCAGAATGATCACTTTTGGGTATTTTTCCCCAGATCTGTCTTTGTCCTGGAATTTTGTGTTTATTTTGCTACTAACATAAGATTTTAGCTGGCAGGGTTTTCCTTTCCCATTTAATTAAATAATTAAGTCTCTGTCTTTGGATACATAGAACTGAAAATGAGTATGAAGTAGTGGTTAAAATGCTAGACTCAGAGTGGGGCTAAAGCTATCAACTGACCAGCACGATTGGAGCAGAATAGTAGATTGGGGTGCATAATCTTCAATGAAGAGGCCTTAATTCTGCAGTAATTAATATGAACTGGTAACAATAAAGATGATGCCAGGAATTGATTTGTTTATTGGGGCAATGCCCACAGTACCCCGAGGAAGTAAATCTCAATACCAGTTTTATTTTTTTCAGGTAACAGTTAAGATTGGACAGGAACCATGCCTCCAAAGCGTAAAGCAGCTGCCCAAACTCGGGTTGCCATCAAGGGCAAGAAGATTAAAAAGGAACCAGAGGTGAAACCTGAACCAGAGGAAGACAATTTCCAGTCCACCGTGGCAGCACTGAAAGCAGCTCCCAAGGAGAAGTCCAAGGCCAAAATTGATACTGCCTGTCAGCTGAGTCATGACGACAGTGCCCAGGTGAGAGTAAAGAGCCATGGTGGCACAGTGGTTAGAGTACAGTATTACAGGCTAATTCTGCTGACTGCCAGCAGTTCGATTCTAAATGGCTCAAGGTTGATTCAGCTTTCCTTTCTTCTGAGGTGGGTAAAATGAGGAGCCAGATGTTGGGGGCAATATGCTGACTCTGTAAACCGCTTAGGGAGGGCTGTAAGACATTGTGAAGTGGTATATAAGTGCCATGGCTATTGTTAAATGATCACCTGTATCTGGCTTACAACAGGGGTATTCCCTTCCAGATGTTTTGGACTGTAAGTGGGCTAAGTTACTTAGGAATGCTATGAGATAAGACCTCTCCCCCAATACATTTGGATGGCACTAGCAGAAGAAAAATAGGAATCTGTATGTACCCTGCTTCTTCAGGTTTCCTCTGCATAGTAGAATTTTTGCTTTTTCTTTGCATGTCTATTCAAAACACATAGTCGGTCTGGGAGGAGAAGAAAATTACTTGGCCAGAAATCTGTTTTTTCCATGATGAAGTCTCATTAGCTAATAGTTTTTTCTTGGCAGAGGGATGCATTGTATTTAAATCCAATCAAATCTTTATGATGGTCTCAAACTAGCATACTGCATTGTATTTCATTCTTTAGAATGTTCTTCACCAGACCAAGCCAAACAGAAATCTTGTTAGCTGAAGGTGCCTCTTTGGGAGTAATGGGTGGAATGTAAATCAAATTCGAACCTGAATGCATGTCTGTCATAGGTTCTGGACTCCATTACTTGCTGAACAAATAAAATGCAGGATACAATACTACTTGGCACAGGTCCCTATAACACATTATGAACTTTGCCTCATTTTCATAATGCTCCTGATGCTGTGTCATTATTCCCTTCCCATTATTTCAATGCAGGTGTAGTTTGAAATATAAGGATGGCCCTGAGCCAAATAGATAAAGGCTCAAAATCAAAGCCCCAAACTACAATTTGGCAGAGGATTATGGGTGTTTTGGAAGCAGCTTATTCATATTCCCTGTGTCCCATTGCTTCCTCTTTTATCACTTTAGATTTACCAGGACTATGACTGTATGCTGAATCAAACCAACATTGGCCATAACAACAACAAGTTCTACATCATCCAGCTGATAGAGCAAAATGGGAACTACAGTTGCTGGAACCGCTGGGGCCGTGTGGTAAGTCTCGCAATCACAATTTGTCTCCATAAATGGAACAGTTCAGGTCTAATGGGGACATGGTAGGTAGCTTCTTCCTAAGATGGCTTTTGCATTATTAGCCTCATTATGCCCAATGATTGCAGAACAAGGCATGTACTTACTAAAACCTCAATCATAAAATATACCTTAGTTGAACAACTGTGTTTCCCAAATGACAATTTGCTTTGCTGAATGTAGTACTAATTGCTGCTATGTATCAAGAAAGGAAGGCGTTTCCTTGTAACGTGCAGTACTTTGACAGGAGGAGACATACAATCTTGGTCTCCAGATGGATATGCAGTCTTGGTCTCTTAGCATTATGAGTCAAAAGTCATTACATAACAATTCCATCTTCCTTTCCTTAATGGATTTTCTGTTTCCAAGCAAACAGAAAAAGAAATGACAAGAAAACATGGAAGGATTACAAGTGGAAGATTGATGGTGCTTCTCCCCCCCTCCCCCATAAAATCTGCTGAACAATAAAAATCTCATCTGGAAGGATTATGGACAGACATTTCAGATAGTATGCAAACCTTGGTTGTTATTCATAACATTTCATTTCAGAGAAGAAAAATTAAATGCTTTCTCTTTTGTGTAGCTTTTCTGTGAAAATACAAAATCAAACAAGTTAATTGCCTATGAAAGCAGCGGTTATGAGCTTGCAGCAAAAAAGTTAATGTAGAAAATTAGCTAATGCTTCTAATAGTGTATGCTTTACAGCAGAACACACATCATGTTGATTACATCTTTTTTAAAGTTAAACCATAGTTTGAAACTTAAGAAGGACCTTTCCCATGAGACCAAATCAAACATAAAATATTTATATAAATGTAAAAATGTTCTCCTTCTCTAGCAATCATTTCCTAAGTATGAAACAATTCTCCTGGAAGTTGTAAGGTATTCTAGTTTCACAAATTATGGTCTAACCCAGGGGTAGGCAACCTCGCCTCTTTTATGACTCAGGAATTCTGGGAGTTGAAGTCCATGAGTCATAAAAGAGCCGAGGTTACCTACCCCTGGTCTAACCTAAAGCAAAATTTATTATAACAGATTTTTTAAAAAAGAGTAAAAAACAAGCTAGATGAGAGCTAGTAAGTTAAAATTCAATCTTGATAAGATGGAGATACATTAATATGTTGTCTTAAGCTATGGTTTGTTTCAGCTATTATTACATAAGTTGTAGTGGCTCAGTTTATGCATAATGCCAGGTTGGTTTATAACTCCTTCGTGCATACTCACATTTCTGACTTAGCGTGATGTGTGAGCCATGCTGCTGTTTATGAGTGGTTCATTGGTTTTAATAAAAAAGTAGGGTTTCACACTGTTCTTGAAGGAGATCCATTCTCTCCAGGATCAGAAATATAGCATGGGAATGCTCTGGAACTGATCATTCTCACAGTGGCTCAAATATGCTATGCATGGGCAGAAATAACAGACCTGCAGCTATTATTGGCTATTTGGTGAGTTCCTCTTTAGCGGTATCACTATTTGAAAATGCATGAGATGTTTCAGTTTATTCAAAACAATGTAGCTTGATGGGCTTGGCCATTACAATCCATAGCAATCTTTTGTCATCCATGCGGGTTAGCAGTTAATTTCTTGGTCCAGTTCAAATTTAACTACAAAATCTCTAACCTGTTTTCTGAAAAAGCATGTCTTTACTGAGAATCCCCAGCTGGGATCCTGCAATTCATTCACTAAGATCCATAATTAGATACATAAGTAGAATTAAACCCACCAGGTATTCATAGAGATGGGTTCCTCCGGTCTGGAAAGACAAAATATAGGAAGCAAACAAAAAGAGATAATCTGGGGCTCTTCCCATAGCCCAGGGGTAGGCAACCTTGGCTCTTGTATGACTCGTGGACTTCAACTCCCAGAATTCCTGAGCATAGCTGGCTCAGGAATTCTGGGAGTTGAAGTCCACGAGTCATAAAAGAGACAAGGTTGCCTACCCCTGCCATAGCCCCTTCTCACACAATTCATATCCTTGAGTCAGAAGAAAAATATGTGAGAGTAATTTGTGCTGTCCCGGTACTTGAGCTCTATTCTGCTTTAGTGACAAGACTTTGGATTAATACTGTGTTTAATGCAGGACAAGTTAAGTCAGTGGTTGGTAAATTTCCCCTCCTAACCAGTGTCCCCTGACCTGCCCATGTAAGAAACAACCAGCAAGTGCTTCCTTTTAACATATTATGGGATGGATTTGGATAACTATGGGCAGATGCCTTTCAAATCGACTGGGTGACAGATCTTGGAAGCTATCTGTGCAATGTCCTGTCGTTTGGGCTATTTCTGAACATAGCATCCTTGCGGAAAAACATTAAGCCCATGTTCAGAAGTAGCCCAAATGAAAATGTCAATCAGGTAAGTGAAGAGTATTAGGTGAGCTGAAAATACTATGTTCTACCAACCTGTCAGTTTGAATTCATGTTTAGTTATTTTTCAGCAGATTGCTGGATGTACATCCAAAAATAGACTGAGTGACAGGTCACTTGTGCATTAAAGGGGAACATTGAGCTATCCACCACTTCACCCTGCATCCCTCCACTGCACCTGTGACCTGTCACTAAAAGAAGAATTCTTACCAATTTCACCTAGCTACTATACATCTCAAATCCATGAGATTGACAGTGAGTTGCTATAGCTAGTATCATATGGAAATAGCCTACACAAATGAAAATGCAGCTACAGTATATGAGAACTCTTTTCAGAAGAAGCAGTAGACAACTTGACAGCAACATGCAGCTGTACATTCTGTTTTTATTTCCCAATTTAAATGGGTTTAGTTGTAATTATCTAGTGCTCTTTCAAAAGACCAAGTTTTCTTGGCAAGCTTTTGGAAGCAGTTTGCCTCTTTCCTAGGGTTGATTGAAAGTGACTGACCCAAGGTCACCTAGATAGCTTGGTACCTAAGCAGGACTAGAACTCACAGTCTCCTGGTTTCTAGCCTGGTGCTTTAACCACTAGACTGGCTCTTGACTGCTTATCTACTAATAGCTTAATTGAGTTGGAAGCCCTTTGTATTTTAATTCACAGGAGGGTCTTATATTCAAATTGCTACTGTTTGACGTCATCTCTGAAAGCCATCTCTCTTGATCTCTTGGAGGAGCTCAGATTATACTTCTCATCTAGGCCTACTTATCTAAGAGCCTGATTTTTTTTTCCTAATTCAGTCTGAGATTGCAGCTAGTAACTATACAGTTGCCTTCTTTTCCTCCAAAGTTCATTGTATATAAGGCTGTAATTTTCCAGAATATCTTAGCCGAAAATCTCTGCTTGAAAAGAGTTGATTTCTATCAGCACTGATCATAATATCTCGTGTGTGTCTGTCTGTGTGAATTTGAAAAAGAAAAAGGGTTATTATAGGCCTTGGTACATTTATTTATTTTGATATTCAGTGAAATGGAAGAGGGGATAGTGAAAAAGTCAGTACTAAGCTGGAGAGAGTGAATGAATATGAAATGAAGGCAAGCCTTCAAATGTTGAGGCTAGAAAAGCTATGTTATCAAGTAAGCCTGGTTCCATTCTATAAAATTCTAATTGTGGTTAAAGTTCAGGTATATTCAAAACTGGGAAATAATGTAAGACCTGGCAGATGATGCCATCATAGCTAAAAAAATTTTTTTTTAAAAAGATCAGTAAATGTTGGAAATACTTTCCTGATAATTTAAGACCAATAAATGTTCTATGATTTTCCAGGGGGAAGTAGGGCAATCTAAACTCAGCGGCTGTCCAACCTTGGAAACTGCCATAAATGCTTTTGAGAAGAAATTTCAAGAGAAAACAAAGAATAAATGGGCTAATCGAGAGAATTTTATTGCTCAAGCTGGCAAGTACACCCTCATTGAAGTGCAACATGAAGATAAAGAAGAACAAGAGGTAACAGTAAAGGTAAGTGTTTAAAGAAAATATTTTAGTAGCATACATTAGGAAGTAAGTGGATCTGGAAGTACAGATAGATTTCTGGATGATTTTCTGTAAAAATGAATTGAGATGAGAACCTTTGCTTAATGATAAAATAATCAGTTCAGCAATATTTTCTCAGAACATCTGTAGATTTCTAACAACTGTGTAGGTGCTATTGCAAAATGATCTCTGGTCTTCTTCCTGACAAAGTGCACAAGGACATCCCTTGGAACATTTCTTAATTTTTCAAAATGTGTATTAATTCTATAAACTTTATCAATCTCTGCTCAGTGTTAGCTGCCAGTTCAAAAAATTAGACAGAAACTTAACTATCTTTTGTCTAATATAGGTTGTTCTAAAATTACTATAAATCTAAACACGTTCTTTTTCTCTCAGTTCCAGTAATGTGAAGTTATCCAACTTTTCTCCATTTGTCTATTAATATTGCCTATCTTACTTTTCCCAAACTTCGCTTTGTCGGTAATATTAGATTGAGGATTAATAGTACAGATGTAATTGTACTTAAAGAAATTCCAACTAGAATACTACGTAAGAGAAAAGAATATTTTTTTCCCCTGACAAATCTAAACAGAAGAAAATTCCATTGAGATAGGATAAGTTGGGAGGGATGAATTCCACTTTTAAGCAGGAGATTCAGAGTAAACTCTGTGCCGAAACCTTTTTTTGGGGGGGGGGGGCATTAGGAGAAAGATATCAAATAATTGAGCTGCAAAATTTGAGAGAAGAATTTATTCAGCAGGATAGAAAAAAAGGAGTCTCTTTGTATATAAATCTTCAGTTAAAGTTAAAATATAAAACTAAATATAAAGTGTTATGCAAAATGCAGAATAGGATTGGGTTTACTAGATTTGAAATTGCATTTTACTGTTTATTATTTGATCTGGATGAAAGAATGGCTGTTTCTGAGAAACAAGAAACTTTATAGTTAGAAACTAGGAAATCTACTATCTAGAAGATTTAGAACTAGAAGATCACAACTTATGGTTTGGAATGCATGGCTATTTATGGTATGATAAAGTTAAAATTAATGTGGCTATCAAAAACATTTTTATTGAATTTGTCATATTGAGAATATGGAATAGATAAACCCAGGTTGTGCCCAAAAGCACCTTTAGAGATGCTCAAGAAACATATTATAAAAGAAAAACAGCAGATAGGCAAATGATTGATATAGTGGGAACTGTTGGAAAACCATCAAAAGTAATTCAAACTTAGATCATGAGAGAAATTAACAGCAGAAAGAGATAGTTGTCAATAGCTTTCCCATTTACTATTATCAGAAATATGTAAAATGGACAAAAAGACTGATGGCATGTAGCAAACTGAGACAGTATTTGAAGTACAATTGTGCATTGATAACGAACATCTAATTGATAAAATATATAAGCTTTTGTTAGAATTTGAAACAGGAAGATTTAAGAATGTATGATAAAGTTGGCTAAGAATTTGGTTATAATATATAGAAGGGTTAATGGGAAAATATGTGGTTAAAAGTATTGATGTTTGCATTGTGTTATGATCTGAAAGAGAATTTTTATAAAATGATATATTGTTGGTATATGACACCAGCGACATTATGTAGAATGTATAAAGCCACTTCAAATTCTTTTTTCTTCTTTACTTCATATTAGTTTGTATTTTCTTTTTAAAAAGTTTTAATTTATATATTAATTAATTAATTGTGTATGTATGTATGTATGTACATACATACCGTATTGCGGTGGTTCTCCTCCTACCTCTCTGACAGGTCGCAGTCGGTGTTGGCGGGTGGACAGAGATCGACCCCTAGGCGCCTCGATCATGGGGTGCCTCAGGGCTCGGTTCTGTCCCCCCTCCTTTTTAACATCTACATGAAACCGCTGGGTGAGATTATTCGGCGACACGGGGTGAGGTATCATCAGTACGCGGATGATACCCAATTATATATCTCCACCCCGTGACCTTTCAGTGAAGCAGTCGACGTGATGTGCCGGTGCCTGGAAGATGTGAGGGTCTGGATGGGGGCGAACAGGCTTAGACTCAACCCTGACAAGACCGAGTGGCTCTGGGTCTTGCCTCCCAAAGGCCAACTGGATGGTCCATCATTAGTCCTGGGGGGGGGGGCATATCAGTGCAGGCACGCAACTTGGGTGTCCTCCTGGACTCACAGCTAAATTTGGAACAACATCTATCGGCTGTGGCCAGGGGGACCTTTGCACAGGTTCGCCTAGTGCACCAGTTCCGGCCTTATTTGGACCGGGAGGCTTTACTCACAGTCACTCACTCACCCTTGTCACCTCAAGACTGGATTACTGTAACGCGCTCTACATGGGGCTACCCTTGAAGGGCGTTCGGAGGCTGCAGTTGGTTCAGAATGCAGCTGCGAGAGCGATTGTGGGCGCGCCAAGGTATGCCCACATGTCACCTATCCTCCGCGAGCTGCACTGGCTTCCTGTGGGTCTCTGGATGCAATTCAAGGTGTTGGTTATCACCTTTAAAGCCCTTCATGGCATAGGCCAGGTTACTTACAGGACCGCATTCTGCCGCACAGTTCCCAGAGATCGGTGAGGTCCCATAGATTGGGCCTCCTTCAGGTCCCATCGGCCAGACAATGTCGGCTGGCGGGCCCTCGGGAAAGGGCCTTTTCTGTGATGGCTCCGACCTGGTGGAATCAACTTCCCCCCGAGGTTCGAACTACTCCCACCCTGCCGGCCTTTAAGAAAGCTGTTAAAACTCTCCTGTTCCGGCAGGCCTGGGGCTGATGTCCCCGGGGGGGGGGCGGGATATGATTGGACTCGCGGTATGACTGTATTATTTTATTGTTTTATGATTGTTTTAACTCTGTACGCCGCCCTGAGTCCTTTGGGATTGGGCGGCATATAAATAAAATTAAATAAATAAATAAATTAAATAAATATATATGTATATGTATAATGTGGATGGAGGAAAAGTAGTCATTTGATAACTTGAGGCACGGTTGATGGAGTGAAAGAGAAACAATAGGAGTTTGACCAATGCAATTTTAATGCATATTTACTCAGAAAAAAATACTGTCTTATTATTCTGAGGAAAGCATGTATTGTAGTGTGCATATTAGAGGAACTGAATGACGTGAATTCAGACCCAAACTAATTCTTCTTGTCTTCAAGGTGGACGATGTGGATGGAATGAAGTCATTTAAACAAAAGATATTGCCTTGCACTTTGGACAAGCAAACCCAGAATCTTATGACACTCATATTCAGCAATGACATGTTTAAAGAAGCCATGCAGACCATGAATATAGGTAAATGGTTCAGGGGGCACTTTTCTGCAGCATGAAAGAAAACATTGCTTTCTTTTATGTACAGTTAACAGAGATTTTTTTCAGAATGGTTTTATCTTGGTTGGTCTAGTATCAAGCCAAGTCAATTAAAGTTAGGAAGCCTGAGGATTAAAGTGTTCAGATTTGTCTCTTGGCTTTCTTCACAAATGATAATCAATTTAGAAATCACTGGTAGTGCTCAGTATGAAAACCTTAAAGGACACAGGTTTAAATTGCCGATAGTATTCCAATTCTGGTGGCTTTAGCCACTGACTTGTAAATATCCTGGAAGTGTTAGATTGATCGGTATGGAAATTTCTTATGTCTGTTTCCCTGCCAGATGTGAAGAAGATGCCATTGGGAAAGCTGAGCAAACAGCAGATTGCCAAGGGCTTTGAAGCTTTGGAAGCTGTTGAAGAAGCTCTAAAGAAGCAACCACACTCCCAGAAGCAGCTGGAGGAACTTTCATCTCGCTTTTATACCATTATTCCCCACAACTTTGGTCGTAATCGCCCTCCATCCATCAATACACAAGAAGTTGTCCAAGCTAAGAAGGATATGCTCCTGGTAAGGAGTTCTCAGAAAGGATCAACTTTCACATTTTATCATGTTTTAAATCGTCATTACGGAAGATTTATATCCAAATTTTATGTGCGTAAGATGGGATACTAAATACTTTGATGACATGTCTTCAGTTTTGCGTTATCTTTATTAATCTCTCCTGGAAGCCATTGGTTGGCTTGGGATTCCTAAACTAGCTGACAAAATCAGAAAATTAAGTAACAAATGTGCTTCTTTGTGGCCGTAAACATTATATCCTGGAATTATGCTTTTAAAAAAGAGATGGGCAATCAATGGCCCATATTCAGTCTTTGAATTCCTTTGTGATTGCCCTCATGTTCCTCTAAAATCATGCAGATGAAATTCAATATAATACTCCAAATAAGGATAATATGATTTTCTGCCAATTTCTGATAATTTTCTAAAAAATATACTATTTTACTATAATTAAAGTAACTTCCTAATAAGACACCTAATACCAACTAAAGCACTCCCAAATTGAGAAAACAAGATGATGTTTTCTGACCCTGTCTTCTCCAAGGGCGACATCTCATTACCACCATGCTTCTGTAATTCTTAATTGTGAAACAAAAATCCCATTTTAAAAAAAGTTGGCTCCTAACCACAAGAGTTGTGCATTTTTTCTTTAAAGGATAAGAATTCAGTCATCCTATGAAATGCAGCTCTAGTATTTCACACTCTTCCATCTCATGCATCGTAGCCTATTTGTGTTCATATTAGCCCTAAAATTTAAAAAAGAAATATAATAAGTTGAATAAGATGAGCACTTCCTAGCAATTGTCCTTGGACATCTAGGTCAGTGGTAATAACATAGCTTGACGTGCTTAATAATGGAAGAGAAAGCTACTGTTATCGCTTGAAGTTTGTAGACACTTAAAACAAAACAGCCTGAACAAAAATGCCAACTGGGCTCTTGCACTTCTTAAATGATAAAACCACAGTTCGTAGTCCCCAGCTGGATGCTTAATTAATGAAATATTTTGCCATGAGGGCATAGATTATATATCTATACTTCTATAGTATAAAATTAAGATAATAGATGGTTACAAAATTGAACCAGGACTAAGAAATCCAAGTTGAAGTCTACTCAGAGGCATAAAACCTCACTAGCTCTTAGCCCAACCTGCCTGACAGAGAGATTGTGCTGAGGAAAATTTGAAGGAAGAAGTGCTATATACTGGAGAAAACATGGGATATAAATCTAGTAACTAAAACAACATGTTTGTTATTCTTCTTTTCAAGCCAGCAGATGCATACTAGTTCAATTCGTTGCTAGTAGCATGTTCCTAAATGTGTTTATTCCAAATAATTGCCCTTTTAATTTCAGTGGGGCTGGCTGTTCTGGAAATGCCCAAATGTAAGATTATTGCTTCCATGTGTATCTCATCTGCATCCCAGTGTTGGTGCTGATTGGTTTACTTTATTGGTAGGTGCTAGCAGATATTGAACTGGCCCAGAGTCTACAAGTCCAGAAGAAGGAGGAGGAGGAAGAGGAAGAGAAGGAAATGGTGAAAGAAGTTCTGCACCCGCTGGACAAGGATTATGGGCTTTTGAAGTGTGAGCTCACCTTGGTGGGTCAATCATCTGAGGACTATAAGGTAAGATGGCCCTACAAGCTGCTTCTTATTTGCTTTAAATATTGAGGTAGCACCAAGCAGCTGAGACTGGGCAATACAGGGTAAAGGATAACATATGGGATAGTCTCTTCCACAGCTAGAAATGTGGGTTAACTAATTCTCGTCTCAGTTCTTTGATGATCACTTTCTTTCTTCACTTTTCTTCCTCTCAACCCTACTAGCTGATTGAAACCTATGTGAAGAAGACAGGTTCCACTTCCCAAAAGCTTCGTATCATGAATATTTGGAAGGTGAACAGAGAGGGTGAGGTAAGGTCATAGAGGAATATCTCCTTCCCTGGTCTGCTCTAGGGCTGAGATTGGTTTCTACTTAAGATCATGTTGGCTGAAGGGAGCAGGCTATTCTGGCACATCTTAAAGGTTGGGGAAGATTGCCCATAGGAACATATAACATATAACACCAGAACTGATGTCTTAAAATTCTTAGGCCATATTCCTTTGATTCTGGTAACTCTGATTCTCAGAGCATGTGCCAATTGAGTCAGAAATATTTTTGAGATACCAAAAGAATGTTTGAGATCAAAAGCCCTGCAGTCCATTTGACTAGACCTACCTCCCGAGATATGGGGGCAGGTAGATGATAAAACCACTTTCGATTGTGAGACATCAAGACTTTAAAGAACCATAAGTATCCATTGGCAGAATAAAAACAAGGCCATTTACTACCTACTGCAGCTTTTTCCCGCAGTCACAGAAAACTTTATATATATATTTGTTTTCTGAGGTTTTCGCGGGTGTTTGTATGTAGGTCTTTGGTTGTTCGGGTTTTCTCCCGCGTAAAATTGGAAGTGTCTTGGCGACGTTTCGACGAAGTCCCATTCGTCATCTTCAGGCTGGTGTCTTCAGCTTCGTGCTTCGAGCAGCAATCCTTTTCTTCACATTCACATGACACCGCCTCTTCCCCAAACCGCGGCTGGAGAGAGAAAAGCAGGGCGCTGGTCTTCGCTTGAACGGCTGCCAGCGCCTCGCGCTCTCTTTGACGGCACCTCACGCCCAGCCTAAGAGAGGTCGCTGAAGCGGTGGCCGGCGATGACCTTCTCGCCCGGCGCTACTGAGGGGAGAAGGAAGAGGGCGGGAAGGCGGGTGAGGCTGCCTCAGAAAACAAATATATATATATATACACACACACACACACACACACACACACACATACATATACATAGGGGATAACCAGTCAGAGGTGCAGATGAGTCCGTACTTCAACAACATGATACAGGAAAGCCGTGTTTGGCTTTCTACCTTTCCTTTATTCAAATATGACTTGAGGAGGAACAAAAATGTTACTAGCTCAGTTCCCTGTTTCATTTCCTAAACAGAACCATCGTTTTAAGATTCACGATGACTTGGAAAATCGGCGTCTGCTCTGGCATGGGACCAATATAGCTGTTGTTGCTGCCATCCTGAAGACAGGCTTGCGCATCATGCCTCATTCTGGTGGCCGTGTTGGCAAGGGAATTTACTTTGCTTCTGAAAACAGTAAATCAGCAAGCTATGGTGAGACCACATTTATTATTATTCTACCATTTGCTGCTCTTCCATTGTTAGCAAACTCTCCTTGCTACTGCTTCCTATATCCTAAGAGTAACACAAGGGAGGCAGAGACAAGAGAGTCAGTTTGGTGTAGTGGTTAAACCAGGAGAGCTTTGAATTCTGGCCCTCTCTCTTCACACACATATACACCAACACCTCTCTCTCTCTCTCCCTCCCTCCCTCTCTCTCTCTCTCTCTCTCTCTGTATATACATACATACATACATACATACATACATGTTAACAATTACACTAAAAATATGATCCCTGGGTATATCCATATTTAAAACCAAACAAATAAATGTGAGCACCAGGGAGTGCTAAAAAAATTAATAAAATTTAGTAAAATGTCAATAAAATTACAATAAAACCAATAAAACGCCTAGCTTTTGTCAGCAACTGCTGACATCATCAGGGCTCAAAATGCCGGTCAGTAGGAGAGTCCTCTTTACAGATTGGCCAGAGTCTGCATCCAGCTCCTAGATCTTGTCATTGGGCCTGATGGAATATATATGTAGGTCTTTGGTTATTCGGGTTTTCTCCTGTGTAAAATTGGAAGTGTCTTAGCGACGTTTTGACAAAGTCCCATTCGTCATCTTCAGGCTGATGTTTTCAGCTTCGTGCTTCGGGGAGCAATGTGTGGTCTTAGCTGTTTCTTCCTTTTAACTGCCAGTGGGGGTATGAACTGATTGGGTGGGAGCTTGGCTGTGTTCTGATTGGGTGGAGGTGTGTTCTGATTGGTTAGGGGCTTGGCTGTGCTCTGATTGGCTGGGGGGTTGGCTGTGCTCTGATTGGCTGGGGGGTTGGCTGTGCTCTGATTGGCTGGGGGAGTGTTCTGTTTGGGTGGGGGCTTTGTTGTGTTCAGATTAAGGTATTTGAATCCCACCATTGCTCTAAATCCACCGGAGACTTGAAAGTATATCCTTCTAGGGCCATCTTTATGTGCTAATTATATTGGAAAACTGCAGTATTTAATAAACAGGTAGCATGCAGGGCATGCAAGCCAGCTGTCCTGTGACCAGCATTTCAACCTCTTATTATTTATACTACATCCACTCCACTCTTTCCCAAGTGGGAAAAGCCAGGGTGAATAAGATGTCCTCCCTAGGAGGCAGTGAGTATGCCTAGCATTTGAGGAGGTCAGGGGCTAAATGTGAAATGTCTCTGTAGAGCAAAGAATAACAAAGTAAAAATCTTAAACAGTATCTAACATGAATGAATGCGCTGTATTTGGAGGATCTTTGGCTGCAGGAAAATTTGGTCATGACCCCAGAATGCAATGGAAACCTGAATTTCAGTAATGTATGAGACTTAAACCCAAGTGGTAGGAAGCTCCCTTTTGGTATCTAATCAGATGAGCATCTGTCTTCCTTTTTCTCTCTGCAGTGGTCACTACCTCCAAACGGGAGGGAATTATGTTCCTGAACGAAGTGGCCCTGGGCAAGATATGTTACATCACTCAAGACAACTGTTCATTGTGCAAGGCCCAAGCGGGTTACGATAGTGTCCAGGCTTGTGGCCACACCGAACCTGGTAAGTTTAAAGACTTGCAGTTTAATAACTTGCAGCCTGATTAGCTCTTGCTAATCCTCTCAATTTCCTAATTTGCATTTGCTTTCATGTCCCCAGACCCTGCATGTGATAAAGAGCTTATCCTGGAAGGGAAAAAAGTGCTGATACCACAAGGAAAGCCCATTGTTATGACTAAGTACCAAAACAGCCACTTCAGCCAGAGTGAGTACTTAGTCTACCAAGAGAGTCAATGTTGCATCCGCTATCTGATCCAGCTCCATTTCTGAGGCTTTTCTTGGGCTATTTTTTCTGCTAGATTCCACTCATTTGCTGGCCCTCATCTTTTCAGTGCTAAGTGCCTGTCTTAAGTACCTACCTTGAGTTGGTCAGCTGTACTCCCCAGTTCTCCATCCAGAGTTCATTCAGTAATCATGGCTCCTAGTTCTGCAGAGTAGAGCGTAATGCAACTACCTTGTTTTGAATAGTATGCTGGCTTCCGTAACGCAGGACTTGATGATGCCCAGCAAAACAAAGATGAAATCATTGCCGGACTGCTGCTGTAAAGGGTATTGTGACAAGGGCTAATGACTTTTGGAAACCTTTTGGATTTGCATGGTCTGAAAATAAAAGAAACTATTAAATTGAATCAGTGTCACCCTTCTGTGTTTTCTTCTACAGGGTCATGTTTAAATACTCTTGCTACTTACATTTCATTTGCTAAGATGATTTGGTAGAAATTAAGAACCAGGATGATGAAACAAACTGTGAAGAACAAGGTTGGGTTAAATCTTCACTGCTTCAGCATTATGCTACAGACATATGCATTCTCCTGAACCAGATTTCCCTTTTCTCCTAGATAGTCCAACAGATTTTGCTTGATAATATTTCATCTACATTGTAGATGCTCTGAGAAAAATGGCTTTACGCATTAGTACAGGTTTCATTCACTGTCTTCCCTTCATTTGTAAGTTCAGAAATTGCTGCTGCAGATACTTAACAGCAAATATAAGAGTTACTGCTAGAGCAATCAAGAAGAGAAAATAAAAGAAGTACCCACTGAAATTAAAAGTAGGGAGAAAAGGTGCAGGCTTTGGCACACTGGTATACTTTGGTATACTTAGATTTCAGCAAGACATTTGACAAAGCAGATGACAACCTACTTCTTGATAAACTAGAAAAATGTGGGATAGATAGCATCACCACCAGATGGATTTGTAACTGACTGACAAACTATATTCAATGAGTAATCCTTAATGGTACTACATCTACATGGAAGGAAGGAAGCAGTGGGATTACACAAGGTTCCATCTTAAGCCCAGTGCTCTTCAATATCTTCATAAATGACTTAGATGATGGAATAGAAGGAGAACTCATCAAATTTACAGATGACACTAAGCTGGCAGGAATAGCCAGCATTCCAGAAAACAAGCTCAGGATCCAAAAGGATCTTAACATACTTGAACAATGGGTCCTTGAACATGAAATTTAATGTGGAGAAAAGCAAGGTTTTACACGTAGGCAGGAAAAACCAAAAGTACAAGTACAGATTAGGCGAAACCTGGCTCAAAAACAGTAACTGTGAAAGAGACCTTGGAGTTAGAGTGGATGATCACGTAAATATGAGCCAGCTGTGTACAGCAGCAACCAAAAAAACTAATACAATCCTTGATTGTATAAACAGAGGCATAGAATCAAAATCATGTGAAGTAGTACTGCTTTATAAAGCCTTAGTAAGACCACACCCGGGATACTGCATCTAGTTTTGATCACATTACAAAAAAAATGTTGAGGCTCTGGGAAAAAATGCAAAGAAGAGCAGCTAAGATGATTAAGGGCCTGGAGACAAAAACATGAAGACCGGTTGCAAGAATTGGGTATGGCCAGTCTAGAGAAAAAAAGGACTTGTGTGACATAATAGCAGTACTCCAGTATTTGAAGGGCTGCCACAAAGAAAAGAGGATCAATTTATTTTCCAAAACAGCAAAAGGCAAGATAAGAAACAATAGATGTAAACTAATCAAGGAGAGAAGCAACCTGGAATTAAGGAGAAAATTCCTAACAGGACAATTAATCAGTGGAATAGCTTGCCTTCAGATGTTGTGGATGCTTCATCGCTGGAGGTTTTTAAGAAAAGACTAGTCAGCCACTTATCTGAAATGGTATAGGCCGGGTCTCCTGCTTGAGCAGGGGTTGTACTAGAAAACCTCCAAGGTCCCTTCCAGCTCTATGCTGATTGATTGAGATACTCCTGCATGTTGCTTTCTATTTTCAATCCCTGAATAAAGCCATCCCTGTTCTCGCCAATGTGTGAGTGGAATGGAGAACAGACTATTTCTGTTTGGAGAAATCACATGGAGTTTTTCTTTTTTAATTATGCATTTGTGGTGGTGTTCTTCCATATTTTTTTTCTTGAAAAATCATCTAGGTTTGTTACACAATCTTCTCTCAAGAAAGCTTTACTTGTGGTTCAGAAGTGTGAGAGAAATGGGCACTAGAGGGGTGTCTGATCCTACTTGTTGTTAGTCAGCCTTTTGCAATGTTCCATCCTGCTGATATGTTGGGATTGCCACTCCCAGAATTCCCAGACATCATGGCCACAATTAGAGATAGTGATGCATAGTTTCAGAATTGAAAGTACCAGACTGAAAAAGCTATCTTGTTTTCTACAGTTTGTCTCTTCTTTTAGTTCTGCTAACAGGAAATACAAGATGATAGTAGGAGAAAAATTAGTATGGCACCCTCTTAGCTTTAGTAAGGTGACATGGCCTGTAGATACATGAAATTTATAGTGATACTATGGAGATAGGAGTTTATATAGCTTTAGTAAGGTGGCATGGCCATTACAGTTTACAACTTCTCTCTGTATATATATAAAATATATACAGAGAGGAGAAATTGTAAATTCTAATGGCCATGCCACCTTACTAAAGCTACATAAACTCCCATCTCCATAGTATCACTGTAACTTTCATGTATCTATAGGGAGAAGTAACAATAATAGGTTTGAGGTATGTGCATATTTAAATCCTAAAGGAAATTAACCCTGACTGTCTTTTGGAAGGAGAGATTTTGAAGCTGAAGCTGAAATATTTTGGCCACCAAATGAAAAGACTCATTGGAAAAGACCCCGATGTTGGGAAAGACTGAAGGCAAGAGGAGGGGACAACAGATGATGAGATGGTTAGATAGTGTCTTTAACGCAGTGGGCATGAGTTTGGAAAGACTGAGGGAGACTGTGGAGGATGGGGGGGGGGCTGGCAGACACAGAGAGAGGATATTTAACCCCTGTATTCTCCTTATCTAGAAAGGGGGGAAATCCTTTTTACACTAGAAGGCCATTTTTATTTGTGTGACTAGTGGTGTTAAGAACTGCTGCATGAAATCTTAGCCTCTGAGTCTAAGGAAGATCTTGCTTGACGGGGCTGACAGAAGGAGCAGTTTGTAGATACAGGCAATCCTCGAGTTACGAATGTAACAGAACCTGCTAATTACATTCGCAACCCAAGGATTTGTTGTTTGGATCATGTTAAATGAATGTGATCCCTCCCTGCTTTACCCAATGCATTCGTTAATTGAATGCACAGGTCGTTAAGTGCACATGAGGTATCTCAGGGTGGGGAAGACCATGGGGGCCTAGTGCCGGAACAGGCCACCTGCTTCTGATCATGCAAGGCCTCCCCCAACCCACTAAGATATCTCATGCTTCCCCCCCCCATCCTATCCCGATGGGTTTCCACAGGTACTTGGCCTGTGGAAACTCACCTTTTGAAGATCTCGATGATTAAACAAACTGTCTCCTCTCTAGCCTGTATGCTGTGGTTTCTTTGCCTGCTCCCGGCATCCCAAAAGCAGAGCAGTGAGAGCAGAGGCAGAGCGAGACAAAAGTGCCCTGCTCAGCTTGGCTGACTCACTGAGACTGCCTGCGCAGGACACCTGATCTGCTTTTGGAGAGCCAGGTAGCCTCGGTGAATCTGAAGGAGTACAATTTCACGCTCCTGCAGGCCTCTGTGCATGGGGCTCAATATAATATTGCCTAATCCAATGTTTCTCAGTCTCAGCAATTTTAAGATATGTGGACTTCAACTCCCAGAATTCTTCAGCCAGACATAACTGGGGAATTCTGGGAGTTGAAGTCCACACATCTAAAGTTATCATTGAGAAACACTGGCCTAATCTAATAGACAGTTGCTCACCTAGATCTCATTCAGAAGTTGTATTTAAATCAGCAATACTAAAGTTTAAAAATGAAAACATATATATGAAAGAATTGTTTTAACGACTTGTGCAACATCACCAGAAAGCTTTGATGAGTCTACCTCTTCACAGGCAAAAGTACACATCACACCCATCAAAAAGAATTAGCATTAATAATCTTTATATGGTACCATTCAAGCAGTTGTAAAGAAGAGAAACTAAATTGCATGAGAGGCTTATGTTTCATCCATTAGTGTATTAGGCACTATTATCAATTCAAGCATGGAAGTGACAGAAGTCAGAGCTAAATTTAGCACAGTGTCTCACTAGCTGTCCTCATCGGTACCATGCCAAAGAAGAATTTGTTCCTTGTTCTTTTGCAACAGAGTTGTATCTGCCAACAAGGGGTCTGTTGTCATCCATTGTTCCCTCAGTGAAACCTGCCTGCTACTAAACCAAAACAAACCAGCATCATAGAGAGATCTGCCACTCCACAGCCGTTCCATTTGATAATAATTTCTATTTTAAAATGTAACTTGCAATTTCTCCACATCATCATCATCTGCAAATCTCAAACATATCCATCTTTTGTTTATGATTTTTATAAATCTGAGGTTTTGCAAAAAGTGTCTTTCCGTACTACAGTGGAGAATTGCAGCCAATCTGTATTCTCTGTTTATTTACAATTGGTTAGTCCCTGAGTCATTATCACGGTTTCCAGTGCTCTGTGAGTTATCAGCCTTTTTCCCCCTTTACAAAGATACAAAGAACCTTTTAGCATTTGCATATATACAGATATACCTAGTGCATACATTTTCCCACATGTATTTATATACGTGTATTCAGTGGTTTGCAAAACATTCCTCCTGGTGTAGACTTAACGCAGAGGAAGATTGACTTTTGAAATTATTAAAAAGTATATTGAGCAGCCTCCCCCCCCCAAAAAAAAAACTCTCTTCCATTGTGCCAGATCAATGTAGCAGAGCAAACCTAATGGAAATAGCATGCCAGCAAAATTGCATTTGAGGGTTGCTTAGGTTAGACAGAACGAAATGCTAGTCAGAAGTGAAAAAATAAGAAGCAGCTCCTCTAATGGAAGAACAAGCAGATCTAGAAACAGGATGAATTAGAAACATTAATTTCTTCTTTTTTGGAAGCAAGGAAGAGAAAACAAAGACATTTTCTGAAGGTTGCAAGGAACCTTGGAAATGTATGCAATGTTAACATTTGTGAATATTCTATGACAAAGGAAGATCATGCTCCCCAAGAAACAGAGAAAAATCAGTATCTGAAAATGCTCATCACAGTCTGAGTTTGGTATTTGCCTTCTACTAGCCAATTAACCTCATAAAGTTTCCTTCCTGGATACTTAATGCAATAAGAGTTTGTGACAAATATGTTTGGGATCAAGTTTGGGTGTCGACAATGGCAGAAGCATACAGATTCTGTATT